AGGCCAACCACAATGCACCTGCACACATGCCTTTGGAAGGGCTTGGAAGGGTTCTGCAAGGCTTAGCCAACTGCTTCACCCTGCGGTGTCCCAGGCGCCTCCCCGCCTAGGCTTTGGCTATAGGCCGGGTTCGGCGGATTTTTATGGGTGAATCCCCTGAAGCCCCTTCTAGTGAATTTTTTGTTTAAACACACTTTTCCCGGCTTCCTGGACAGCAAATCCAAGGAAACCATTGAAGCAATCTTGGGCATTCTGCACGCTGCCAATGTCGAACCACTCTTGATTCCGCGTGGCATCGACCAAGGCTCCGGAAAGGGTGGCTCTGGCCGTCTTGAGTCGGCGGAGCTGGTGGAAGAGGCCTCGGATTTTGGGTGCCATCCTCTTTGTTTGGCCCATGAGGTCTTTGGTCTGGAATACGTCGACTTTGCGCGGTGCAGCTTCTGTGGCGCCACAGGCGAACCCTCCGCGGCAGCGTCCTATGTCTACAACGCTTATGTGACGGAACTGGAGAGGCCCAGTGATCCGTCGACTGGGAGCTTGTTGGACATGCTGCGGGCTCCACGGCGACCCTTCTCGGAGGCGCAAGGAGGGTAAGCAGGGAAAGCAGAAGCTTTTGTGTGGTACTTTCGAGCTGAGGTATGAAGAACTGGGCAACAGCAATCCAACATCAATAGATGCATTCTCCGTGTTTTATTCAATATTCTTGTTTGGTTTTGTGGTGTTCGGGCCTTTTCGCGTCTCAATCTATTGTGAAGTCGAATATGCACCCAGTGGGTCTCATGGACAGGGCATCTCATGCCAGGTTCTACGACAGCTTTGCCAGACGGAGGAGGGGAAGAACTGCTGTGAGTGCAACTCCCGAAAAACAATGAAAACAGAGCGCTGGCTCACGCGGCGTCCCAAGACGTTCATTTTGTCCCTGGTATGGCCCAGCTCCAGCCCCAGTCGAGACCTTCTTTGGCTGATTCTCTCCATGATCCAACCCACCCTCCGCATGGAAGAGATCTTCCAGATTGCCAGTAGCAACTCTTGCACCTCTTCCACCACGGAGGCTTCGCCAGCTTCTGCTTCTGCGGAGCGCAGCGCTGAGCGTAGCACTTCGCTGTACAGCTTTCATGGCATGATTTGCTACTGTGGGATGCACTACGTTGCAGTCTTCTGGTGCCCTGCTCGAAGGCGCTGGATCTTTTCGATGATACCTGTGTTAAAGAGAAGGCAGATTGGAGCGCCGTGGCCAATCTCATGATGACAGGTCAGCCACTGGGCCGCAGGGTCAGGGAAAGCCGGCAACACACGAGCGACCCTGGACAGAGAGTGACAGCCAATCGAACTGGGTAGCCAAGTTCATCCACTGGGTTCGGCTTTGATAGGAATGCAGCAAGTATTATATATATATGTGTGTGTGAATGTGTCTTCTTGTTAGAGGACTAACTAGAAGAGTATTTTTTAAATACGACAGCGGTGTTGGGAGGGATGTAACATTTGCCTTTAAGATGCTTAACCACATGCAACATGTACTGTAATTTGCAATGTTTTGTGCATATTGCCAAGGGAAATTTACATCCCTAGGAGTACCCCTTCTGTTTTTTCATTTAATGTTTGATGCCAAGATTTGGTTCGTCCAGAAGGGGGGGGCCTGGAATCGAATATCGACTATGATGCTCCAAACCGGCCAAAATTCGGGGAGTCTCAGGTCTTCCAGGCGGGAAACTCAGGTATGTTCCAACTCTCAACTCCACCCTAATAGCGATGGCCTCCACCCTAGTAGTGATGGCCTCCAACACAATCGCCATCAGGCCTCAGTCTCAGGTATGTTCCAACTCTCATCTTCTATGAGAGTGTCTCAGAAGAGCCAGCACTGTCTGAGTCGGTGGAAGAGCTTACTCGCCAGGTTGAAGCTCTCGAAAGTCAGCAATCATGCGTGGCGATGTAGATTCGAAGAGGTGCGAAAAGAGCGCCCTCACAGCCATTCTAACCAGACTCCCTTTTTTCTTAAGACCAGTTGTTTTCTTTCTGTTTTTATTGTTTTAAAGCCCGTGGCCCTGCATCCTTACTTAATGAAGCAGGCAGCTACTTACTTAAGTAAGGACCGAACGATGGAGGGAATGGACTTTTAGCCTCTCTGATCGGACGTGTTCTTCAACATACTGGGTCAGAGGGACAGTTGATGGGCCAAGTCCGGAGTTTTGCCTTCCGAAGAACGACCAGGGCAGATCCTCCAACACCATCTAGTCAGAATAAGCTTAAAACGCAGACTTTTGCATCCGAGATCTCGCGGAGATGAGGTAATGTGTTTCCTACCGAAGCCCAAATCGGGTTTCTAGATCAGATGGACCGTGCTCTTGCAGAGAAACTTCATGTTCAAAGCATATAATACAACTGTGGGAATCACCAGGAGAGCAAGTTGGCATGCCCACTGGTAGCTTGGAATAAACTAGATTTGTGCAACCTTCATCATCTTTTTAACGGGAGTCCACCGCCACATTATAACCACAGCGAAGCACCTTTGGGTGGCTTGAATATCACAGCGAAGAGTGCCTGACACTATCTTGGAGGGTCTCAAAAGACAAAGCCTGGCACGTGCCGGACATTCGTTCCTGAAAAGAAGAGCAATCATGGACCACCAGATAGGGTTTACTTTGACTTTCAGGGACCTAAAACGGCTTGCAAAGGAACAAACTCTTGATTTGCTTCAGCTCCTTGAGTCCTTTGAGGCTTGGTGGCATTCTTTGTCTTCGACTTTCAGTTCAAGCAATTGGCTTGGGACCCAACGAAGCACATGCACCACACATCATTGATGGGGGTCTTGATGATGTTGGGCTATGTGGTCGTCGATTCCTTCACCAGCAATTTTGAGGCCGGGCCAGGACCTTAGGAAGAAACATCAGGAAGACAAGGTGCTTCTGACAAGCTGGAAGGGCAGGCAGTCGACCCAATGACAGTAGGTGAAGACCATCAGATTTGGGAACCAAAAACAATGACACCCATGTAACTGCCGTGCGGGTGACGTACTCTACATGTGATTTGCAAGCGAAGTGAACCCTAGGGCCCTAGCCGATCTCGCACAGATGATCAGCTCAGCTCGCCGTTTCTTTCAGGATTCCATCTACCAGAGATTAGACTTGACACCAGGGCACATGCTGCTGGGCATGGAATCTTTGCCCGCAGAAAGGTGTTGCGCCCCGGGTCCCCGGTAGAAAGGAGTGAGAAGTGGAACATGGATTGCCAGGATCTTCAACTGTTTTTGCGGAGGGACTCTGACCTGAACACAGCTACTTCTTGGCAAGGTCCAAGTCCAAGTATCTTTAGACTTTAGACACTCAAAACGAGTCTCCATGAAAAGTGATTCGGGATGATGTTTTTGAGAACTATCACTCTAAAGCTGAATGTGCTCCCGGGGTGTAACGACCATTCCCCCAGCACGGTTTGTGGAACGACTCTCTTCGCCTCCGCTTGAGGAGACCTTCTCAGCGGCCTTGGCCTGGGTGTGGGCTGCCATAATGGGGGAGGTCTCGAGCGGATTCCAGCCGCCCGGCCGCCGGACATTTGTTGGGGCCATTTTGGGTTGTGCTATTTCCCCAAACAATGTGGACACATTGGGGGTTCTTACGGTAGGAGAAAAGCAGGTGTGCTTAGATAGGTGTGCGGCGCGGGCGTGTGCGGCTAATTCGCTGCTATTTACAGTACATTCATGCCTCTCGACATCGTCAATGTGCATTTCGACTGCGCAGGCTCGCTGAATCTGGGTGTCTGCGGCGGGTGCTTCTAGCGACTGCGCTCTCGTTGTGGTGCTGTGCGCATTTTCGCACATGGTGGTCACTTTTCGTGGCAGGTGCAAGGGAAACCTCGTGTTTTGGTGCTCCAAAGTTGACTTTTCGTAACAGGTGCAAGGGATCGGATCTGTTTTACTTCGAAATGCAGTTTTCGTGGCAGGTGCAGCTTCGTGGCAGGCACAGCACTCTGTGACCTGTGCAGATTTCGTGGCAGGTGCAGCACTTTGTGAACCTCGAAGTGCAGATTTCGTGGCATGAACAGCACTTCAGGAACCTCGAAGTGCAGATTTCGTGGCAAGCGCGCTGGGTGAACCTCGAAGTGCAGATTTCGTGGCAGGTACAGCACTTGGTGAACCTCGAAGTGCAGATTTCGTGGCAGGCGCAGCACTTGGTGAACCTCGAAGTGCAGATTTCGTCAGCACTTTGTGAACCTTGAAGTGCAGCTTTCGTGGCAGGTACAGCACTTAGGTGAACCTCGAAGTGTAGATTTCGTGGCAGGCGCAGCACTTGGGAACCTCGAAGTGCAGATTTCGTGGCAGGCACAGCACTTTGTGAACCTCGAAGTGCAGCTTTCGTGGCAGGCACAGCACTTGGTGAACCTCGAAGTGCAGATTTTGTGGCGGGTACAGCGCTTGGTGAACCTCGAAGTGCAGATTTCGTGGCCGGCGCAGTGCTGGGTGAACCTTGAAGTGCAGATTTCGGCGCAGGCGCAGCAGTTTGTGCTGTCAGATGCTCATTCTCTCACTCACTCACTCACTCACTCGCTCGCTCGCTCGCTCGCTCGCTCACTCACTCACTCACTCACTCACTCACTCACTCACTCAAAACTCACTCACTCAAAACTCACTCACTCAAAACTCACTCATCAAAACTCACTCATCAAAACTCACTCATCAAAACTCACTCTCAAAACTCACTCACAAAACTCACTCACAAAACTCACTCACAAAACTC